GCGTCGAGGAAGACGAGAGAAGGGTCGGATGTCGTTGTGGACCATCCCTGGAGTGGAGGGTCGATCACCGCCCCAGGCAACATACGACAGTACGCATGAGGGTTGATGAAGAGAAGTAGAGGAATACTTAGTAGAGCCAGCAAGGGCCATTGCGAAATATTTGTGAACCCGCCTTACGACACACACACACACACACACACACATGTATGAAAACGGCAGCAATAAGATGCTGTCTTCCATTCCTCACTTCCCCAGGACAGGCCCAAGCATCCGGGTTCCTCAGTAGGTTGCTAACACTCCCCTCCCAACATACTCCATCACTACCGCAGCGCAAGTTAATGCAATGGGGAGCAATAGAGTTGAAAACTAGTGTTACCTGTATTCGGTAGGATATTCCTATGGTGGTTATAAAGAAAACAAAAAAAACAACGAGAAAGAAAAAAAATAGGTAAGCCACTTCACTCACTCACCAATTACTTGGTTGGTAAGTAAAAACTTGAATTTGGAACTTTACTTTAAAAAAAACCCATTAATCCTCCCTCTCTCTCCTTTCACATCAACAATGATCTTGTTAAACTAAGGTTATGGTGCATGAGGAGGTACTGACTAGGTTGCCGTGACGCAGACCACGAAAAATTCCATTCCAGCTCCGTCCATACAGACACCTCATAAGATAGGAGGTAAGAGAAGGAGGGAGAGAGAAGGAGAGGGGAGAGAGTAAGAAGGAGCAGAGGAGAGTGAGAGAAGGAGAGGGAGAGAGAGAGAGTAAGAAGGAGAGGGAGAGAATGAGAGAAGGAGAGGGAGAGAGTAGAAGGAAGAGAGGGGAAGAAAAGGAGGAAGGAATCTCAACAGCAAAACTGTGGGCGTTAGAATCCCACTCAGGGCAGCTCTCTTCTTAGAAGAGCTGTCCTGGGGTTGGGTAAAGAAAAAAGAAGAAGAAGCGCCCTGCGTGTAGTTGACTGTTTGCCTTGCCTTGCCTCTTGCCTTTCTACTCGCTACCAAGTTGTTGAGACATACAAACCTGTCTCAGTCTTCGTTGGTTGCTTTCTTACTGCACGGCCGCTCCAACTCATAGCTGTAGAGGGCACCTATACATAGTGAGGGAGACAATTCAAAGTCAAGGGACAGACAACACTTTGAATGACAGAAAACCATGGAATGATTGGGCAATCTCCAGCATCATGACCTCCCAGACTCTCTCTATGGCCACAAGACTGCGGATACTCTTCGAGCAGTTCCTTCACCTCTCATCAGTGAGCCCCTGCGGTTGTCAGCTTTCAGGTGGGTGGACTGACAGACGATGAGGAGGGAGGCAGGAGGGAGATACGGTAAAAACCTTTGCTACGAAACAAACTTGGCAAAATCACAAAGTGTATTCTTCTGATATCAAGAGATACTGCACAACTTACTAAAACTATACTGTTGACATGTAGATATTCCAATAATCGGTCACGTACTATTCATGATACTTTTATTAGTATAGCTTTTACATGCAAATGTTTTTAGTTAACAGTTTGGTATTGGACAGCTGGTCATGCTACACGGTCTTTGGGGAGACTAGTCACAGAAGAAAATGCCCCCACCACACAGGCCCTACCTGTCAGGGTAGTCGGTAGGGTATCTTGACGAGGGGTCTGATGGCCACTGGTCTAATGGAGGAAGAAGCTCCCATGCTGACCTGGGGCACCAACAGTAGACCTATCTCTGGAGGCCTCTTCACCTGTAGCACAACAACAGACTTTATGTTCACATTAGCAAAGAACTATATACAGTGATAATGGAGGGCATTACTGCGATGTCGGAACACTCGTATTGAGCTGACATGATGTACAGTATGTAGTATTGTAAGAAGTACATACACTCTATTGAGCACATTCAGTACAAATAAAAATGTTGTATTGAAGTGATTGGACAGTTAAAACCCTTTGGAGACAGTATCTATGATTGGACATTCATGGCAGTCCACTGCCTGCATACTGACAATGTCATCTGCAGAGTGAAGCCTTTCAGCTCATGTGCTGTGCTTTTACCACACACTACAGCAGTCTACTACAGTTTCACCAGATCAGCAATGTCTTGCATCATGGCACACACACACACACATGGTCACACACACACACACACACACACACACACACACACACACACACACACACGGTCACACACACACACACACGGTCACACACACACACACATGGTCACACACACACACGGTCACACACACACACACACGGTCACACACACACACACACACACACGGTCACACACACACACACACACGGTCACACACACACACACATGGTCACACACACACACGGTCACACACACACACACACACACGGTCACATTATTCTATGGTCATCAGGGATGATGAAAAACAATTGATTCAGCATTATATGTAGTTCAGCCACATTCATCAATGATGAGCGCTAAAAGAATGCTTAGGTCAAAAGCTAGTCCAGTCAAAGCTGGCTACCCTGATCGCTCCCAGTTGTTCTCTGATCAAATTCTCGTTACTCGTGTTGATGAGAGGGGCAACTCACGTCCCAAGGGTCGGTCTTTCTCATGTCCTGAAAGCCCTCGGGGAACACCTCCTGCAGGAACTCCACCTCGTCCTCCTGCCGCTCCTGGTACATCTCGTCGTACCCTCCACCTCCCTCCATCACCAGTTTGTAACCACTAACACAGCGAACAAAGCCGCGAGCGCAGCTTGCTCACAGCTGCACTCCGACCTTAATTTTTGACGTCAACAAAACAGTAACGCGAACAAACTGCGCATGCGCTGAATGCCGGGCCGCGTGTGTGCGTTCACTCTGCATGTGGTGGGTAAAATTGAGGCAAAATGATCAAAAATTATATATATATTATGCATCTGTATAATGGCATAAATATTAGTCTGATATAATTATAATATATATGATAAATCACTGAAAATTGAATAGCAAGGAACCGGCAGTATTGTCGTAACAAGAGAATGAGTGACACACAGCTTCAGAGCCACAGCTCTGAGCAACTGAAATGGGTTAAGTGGGAGAGGAGTTAATTATAGGGCGGAGTTTGCTGAGGATGAGGGGACGGAGGGAAGATTTGAGGTTGTCAACTTGGAAGAGGAGGAGCCGAGCTGGTCCCTGACCTGTACCTGTGTCTTGCACTCCTCGAGAGCTTTCTTACACTTGAGGAGAGTTTGGAGAGGGACTCTGGGGAATGGTGGTGGAGAGGGAGGAGACAGGGATCACGAGAGATGGAAACTCTTCTCTTTTAGGTCTAAGTAAACAAGTCCTCCCCTCTCTCTCTCTCTCTTGTTTTCTACTTCTACATGTGAAAGCGTGAGCTGTTTAGTTTTCATGTAGGTGATTGCAATGGTGGTAGAATAAAGGATTGACATGCATTGTGTGCTCACACTTCGGATACAATATACAGCACAACAAGGCAGGCTGCATTCACATACAGGGCTAATGCTTGGGGACACCAAATTTGGAACTTAATTCAGAGGTTTCCGGGGCAGAACCAAGTATCCCTTAAAAAGAGATGTCCTTTGATGGATGGTATTATCAGAGGAGTCACTATGTATTGTCATCATAGAGAGAGGAACTGACAATTAGAGAGGTCATATAGGGAGAGAGGAGAAGTACTGTCATCATAGAGAGAGGAACTGACAAGATGAGAGAGGGTAGAGACGAGAGAAGTTACTGGCATCATAAGAGAGGAACGCCAATAGAGAGTGAGCAGGAAAGGAATAACTGACAATATGAGAGAGTCGAGAGGGAGAGGAGAGAGATACTGTCTCAGAGAGAGAGGAACTGACAATATGAGAGAGCAGAGAGAGAGAGAAGTACTGTCAGCATAGGAGATGAACTGACAGATCTGCGAGAGTAGGGAGAGCGAGAAGGATGGCACATAGAGAGAGAACTGACAATATGTAGAGAGGTCTGCAGAGCAGGCACAGCGCTAGACAGCCGGATAGAGAGCAGACACAGACATACGAGAGGAGGTAGACTAGAGAGCAGTCCCATAATCTGCACATAGAGCATGCGACGCCCACATAGATACGCGCCCATCCATAGGGAAAGGGTCCATAGACGTAGCTGCCATCATAGATAGAGACACATGCAATAGGACAGAGAGCAGCAGCAGAGCGCAGCAGTCACATGTCCTCATAGGAGAGCACTCAATATGCGAGCATAGAGAGCGACAGCACTGCATCAGAGAGAGAGGAACTGACAATATGAGAGAGGTATATAGGGAGATCGAGAGACGATATACGTGTCATCATAGAGAGAGGAACTGACATATGAGATGAGGTTAGGGAGAGAGAGAAGGTACTGTCATCATAGAGAGAGGAACTGACATATGAGAGAGGTAGGGGAGAGAGAGAGAAGTACTGTCATCATAGGAGAGGAACTGACAATATGAGAGAGGTAGGGAAGAGAGAGAAGTCTGTCATCAAGAGAGAGAATGCTATATGAGAGAGGTATATAGGGAGAGGAGAGAATACTGATCATAGAAGAGAGGAACTGAAATATGAGAGAGGTATAATAGGGAGAGAGAGAGAAGTACTGTCATCATAGAGAGAGGGAACGACAATATGAGAGAGGTTAGAGGAGAGAGAGAAGTACTGTCATCATAGGAGAGGAACTGACAATAGAGAGGTATGGGAGAGAGAGAGAAGTACTGTCACATAGAGAGAGGACTGACAATATGAGGAGGTATATGGAAGCGAGAGAAGTACTGTCATCATAGAGAGAGGAACTGAACAATATGAGAAGAGGTAGGGAGAGAGAGAGAAGTACTGTCATCATAGAGAGAGGAACTGACAATATGAGAGAGGTAGGGAGAGAGAGAGAAGTACTGTCATCATAGAGAGAGGAACTGACAATATGAGAGAGGTATATAGGGAGAGAGAGAGAAGTACTGTCATCATAGAGAGAGGAACTGACAATATGAGAGAGGTAGGGAGAGAGAGAGAAGTACTGTCATCATAGAGAGAGGAACTGACAATATGAGAGAGGTAGGGAGAGAGAGAGAAGTACTGTCATCATAGAGAGAGGAACTGACAATATGAGAGAGAGTATATAGGGAGAGAGAGAGAGACGTACTGTCATCATAGAGAGAGGACTGACAATGAGAGAGGTAGGAGGAGAGAGAGGTACTGTATCATGGAGAGGAACTGCATATAGAGAGGTAGAGATAGAGAGAAGTACTGTCATCATAGAGAGAGGAACTGACAATATGATAGATAGGGAGAGAGGAGAAGTCTGTCATCATAGAGTAGGAAACTGACATATGAGAGAGGTATAGAGGGCCGAGAGAGAGAGTACTGTCATCATAGAGAGAGGAACGGACAATATGAGAGAGTTAGATAGGGAGAGAGAGAGTACTGTCACATAGATAGAGTACCTGACATATGAGAGAGGTATGGTTGAGAGAAGAGTACTTTATCATAGAGAGAGAACTGACAATATGAGAGAGGTAGGGAGAGAGAGAGAGAAGTACTCGTCATCATAGAGAGAGAGACTGACAATATGAGAGAGGTAGGGAGAGAGAGAGAGAGGCAGGGAGAGAGAGAGAGAGCAGATACCCGCTTCTGAAATCCTGTAAAACATATTCGAGACTCTTGAATTTCGAGTACTGCTCTGACTTGACCCCTTCCTTCTTCCGAATGTGGCTCATCATGTGGGAGACGAGGGGCAGGTAGGCCTGGAGCTCTCGGTGGGTTCGAAGGTACACCGCCTCCTCGTTTTCGGCCGAGGTTGGTGTGGCATGGGCGGGGCAAGATCCACTGGCAGTGGGCGGGCAGAGGGAAGGGGTTCGGAAGGTGTGGCTGGAGAATTCTCCGGTTGAGACTGCAGTGGTGAAATGATTGACAGCTGTTACTGTACATACACATACAAACACTGGAAAATCATGGGAACATTAAATGCCAGTTCTCTATTCACTCATGAATTGAAATGGCACGATTTTTAAAAATCATGATCACTTTCTGGGAGTCACTTTGAGCCAAAACCGCACGAATATAACCCTGCATTATATTATACAAATCACCTTCAAGGGAGGAGCATGTGTGCATATGAAACTCGCGGTAGTGTGTTTATATACAAGCAGGTATAAACTGACCTGGATCTGAGGGACGCCGTCTTTTCCACCTGATGAATGTTCTTTAGAGACAAAATTATTTCATGAGGTATATACAGCCAACAGTCAATGGAAAATCTCACCTTTCGTAATATGATGTCTCAGATGAGTTCTGATGCCAAACTTTAGTCCACATTCTCCCCACTATACAAGTACACAATAATTATTCAGTTCATTTTAAGTCCCCAAACATCTTGTACAGCATGCATTTTGCTCCTCCCCCGTTAACTATATACACATGTACAGAACACCCGCATGATCCATTTTAAAAAGTTTATCATCTAAAAATGGCCACAGCCATCACTGCAGCAGGGAAGAGAAACGAGTCTAGGTGTGGACGAGTGCGTAGCTAGACCAGCAAGCCAGTGCAGGAACAGAGACAGTATGCAGCGACGGGTGCATATTTTTGTTGTAGAAAGCAATGCATTCAAATTTGCCATGGCAGTGGTCTCCAATTGTCCCACTAGTATCGCCTGCAGACATGTCAGATGACTCTCACCTGGCACTGGTGGTAGGTACTCAGATCAATTTTGATGGAAACGATCTTCCCGTTTCTCAAGCCACAGTAGACCTGAGGGAGAGAGAGATTCTCTATCAGTCACTGTGGTACCGACACAGAGCACTAAACTGACAGAGTCTCTGAAGCTGTAGAGAGTGAATGGGAGGTCGTCGATGCTGTAGACTTGCAGCAACGTCTTGTCCTGACACGACGGAAGAGTATAATGCTCACGTCAACCTTTGCACCTCAAGGCTACTACCGCACTCTTTACAATACTTGAATAAAACTCTACATCAAACCTGTAGCTTAAACCAGGACCTACACAGACTGCTCTGCGGCTCTCGATGTTCATAATTGTAGGAGAATAATAATATGGAACACCAGACAGAAATTATAGTGGTACCCTAATATTATTCTCATCGTTGGTGAAATATGGAACATATGAAGTACTTTACTCAACCGATTCTAAGCAAGCAGATACGAATTGGTAAAATGTGTGTATGCATACCCTGGCATCGAAACATCTGATGAGGCGGTCAAAACACGACGTAATCAGCAGATTGCCATTGACACACAGTCCACTGATGGCACCGTCGTGACCTTTCACCCTTCCACATGGCACCCACGTCTACACACACACACACACACACACAGTATATTAGTTGTTTATATCTGTATGTAGATCTAAACATGCCTGAGTGTCGAAAATTTGCAGGGTTGTGTCGGCTGATCCGCAGTAGAGTAAGTCACCTTCAACCTACATTATAACACTCTTAGAAGCTGCATAATAATTATGTCAAACGAAATGTGGCTTACGAGAACTATGCGTGAGAGAACAAAAATAGAACGACACTAATTGTAGCAGTAATGTGAACATACCTGCATGCAGAGGACCATGTCAGAGAAAGATGAGATCTGATGAATTCTGGCGAGAATGGAGCCTCCTCCGCACCCTCCAACGTAGTGCGATATGTCCCAACAGCTTATCTTGTTGTCGTAACTTGCTGCAGTAACAAAAAAAGGCCAGTCGATAGTTCTAAAGTCTCCATCAGCCAGCGGTGGTTTGTATCGGCCGCCATTTTGTTATTTGTCGGGCAAACTCCAAAATGAGACTCGCCCCCTTTTTACATAAACATGAAAACTGCATGTTTAACACCTTGGGACAGGGCAGTGTTACAAATATTGGATCAACTAACAAACTTACATGTAGTACAACATAGCTCTTAGTTCACTATTGATCACGAGCCTGTTAGGAAAACTTTGAGTTTGCAGCAGATTGTAGGTGCATAGCGGTAGATCACTCGAAGCACCACGTGTAGTATATACCTCCAGTAGATAAGAGAGCCTGGGCAGCCATCCAGGCCTGTCTGAATGTATCACTAGTATATAGCTCACCAGTCAAGAGTCTGTTGTTATAGATGGCGAGGCAGCTGATGTCCTTCCTGACAGGATCATTTCCCACCAGCCATCTGCCCAAGGCACTCTTGGTCTGACACAGAGAGAGAAGAAAGATTACTACGTATCACATGGTATGGTGTACAGAGGCATACATAGAGGTACATCCGTGAAACAAGAGGTACATCCGTGAAATAAGTGCAGTGTTATGCTGCAATTCTGTTCTGCCTGTATTGATGGTACAGTTGAGTAGGATCGAGGTTGCCAATGAAGTGAGAGCAGCACACGCCCCAGTGAATCCGTTAAGTGAATGAGTCACTGAGGTAGCGTAGCTAGTATGTAGCTGAATAGTGGTGAGGGTTGTCAAGACCAGTGCTTTTCACTTTGCTGTAGTAGTAACTAGTATTGAACGCGCATGTGCCAAAAACTGAAGTAGTGTAGCTAGTAGCCATTGGCTGCTGAAATAAAGAATAAAGTGGCGAGGGTTATGCACTTTCAAGTGCTTTTCATTTATGATTTGAAGTTTAGTTTTACCAGTACATCTTAGCATCTACAGATAAGTATTTAACATCTAAGGCCTAAGTAACTAACACAATGCCATAAATACAGAGTTGAGGTGTATGTAATTTACTAACTAAAACAGAGGGTTAATTATTGACAGTGTGTGAGTCAAGCAGAGTGACGGAAGCTAACCTGTAGGTCAATGAGGTGAATGAATCCGTTGCTGAGTCCAGCCACCAGCAGACTGCCCTGAGTCACCATACACTGGATGCGGGCACCCAGACTGAAGTCTATCTCCACCACTCCAGTCTGCAACGGTGGAATACCACATCCCTCGTGAACATCATACAGCAGGAAACATTGAACGGAAAAAACTTTACATTTCCACAGCAAATGCAGTTTCACGAAGAAAATTTTGCACCTTAGAGAATTTTTTTTGGAGAAAGCTACACTGTTTCAGTAATACGGTCATATGCCCTATGCATACATACACATGTACTGTATGTACCTTGGCGTGGTACATGATGATGTGCTTGTCGGTGGAGCCTGATATGATGTAATCCTCTTGACAACAGGTGAAAATCTGCACATACGTAAATACACTATTAGTACTCTATTAGAGAGAACTAGATGTTGTCCAAAAGGTGTGGAAAAATAATGTCAAACGAGTTGAATTTACAGGGGTTCTATGGTAAAACTAAAAATGGATATTTAGCTGAACACTCACCTCGATGCATGTGATGGATCGTTTGTGAGTCTTGAACTCCTTCTCTTGGCGAGTCTTCTACGGAGCACAGAGCCAAGAGTTACACACCACACACTACCTCGAATGAGGACACCTCTCGTGATTCACATACCTCCATGTTGTAGACTTTGACTGACTTGTCAGACGAACAGGAGTAGAGATAGCCTCCAGAAACCTGAGAACAAAATATTAAAACGCGAGAGAGAAGATTCTTTGACGAAAACCGCTATGCGTGTTTTGAAGCAACTCTAACAAAATGTACAGTAATACTGTATTTTCCCTGCTCTAAAAGAAGTTTACAGCGCAGTTTTGTCTGTCTGTCTGCCTACCTTGACACAGAGCACAGGCTTCTGATGAGGGTTGTACTCCGTTGTGAGTCTGTCGTCGTCACTTTCTTTGTCCTCCATCCGCTCCTCCTCCCCACCCCCACCACCAACAGATGTCGCTGTCGCCTCCACAGCTTCACCCTCCCCCTTTCCACTTGTCACACCCTCTCCCTCCTCCTCCTCCTCCTCTTCCCACACCTCTAGCGGTAGATCACTCGAAGCACCATGTGAAGTATCTCCAGTAGATAGGAGAGCCTGGGCAGCCATCCAGGCCTGTCTGATAACATCTCCCTCACTATCGCTGGCTCCGGTTCCTCCATCAGTACTCAGAAAACCCTCCAAATCATCATCACTGTCCTGACCATCACACTCTGCAATCTCCTGCTTCACCACCACACCTCGGATCTTTCCTTCACCGTCCACAGTAGCAGGTCTAGCAGAAAATTCAATCTTCCGTCTATCATCCACAGTAGCCCCATTAGTAACAGTGTCTGTTGTGGCAGCAACCATTTGTTTGCCATCCTGAGTAACACCATTAGTACGTCTATCATCCACAGTAGCAGTATTAGTAGCAGTGTCTATCTTAGTAGCATCAGCACCAATCTTAGTATCAATCTTTTGTCTATCATCCACAGTGGCGGCATTAGCAGCTGCGTCTAGAGAGAGAGAGGCGCAAGCACTATTTGAAGGAGCTACAGATGATTGCTGTTTCGAAGCTGTTGACAGAAGGGGCTGTGAGTCTGGATCACACCCAGGGAACAGAATTGAATCAATCTCAGCAGCCATCTGCGAACTACCTACACTCCTAGTGTTGGCCTCTTTACCATTGCCATCTGCTGACGGTGAGATAGCATCTCTGTTTGTGTTTGGACCGGGCTGAGGTGGCAAAGAGAAAGATCGTTCTTGGGGGGTGAGTGGAGTCAGTTTCGTTCTCTCAGGGTTCAAAGTCGATACTGAAGAGTTTGAATTGAGAATAGGGAGAGATATGTGTGGAGGAGGAGGGTATAGTTTGGTGTAGGCAGAGTGGTCTAGAGGGAGAGATATGTGGTGAGGAGGAGGGTATAGTTTGGTGTAGGCAGAGTGGTCTAGAGGGAGAGATATGTGGTGAGGAGGAGGGTATAGTTTGGTGTAGGCAGAGTGGTCTAGAGGGAGACTGGGTACAGAGCTGGTCACATCTCCTATTGGCTCAGCAGCCATTGGTTGCGGCTCCATGTGAGGCAAGCCACTCTCTACCTCCATCCGTTTCTCTGCCTCAGTCTGTTTCTCTACCTCCATCTGTTTCTCTGCCTCCATCTGTTTCTCTGCCTCCATCTGTTTCTCTACCTCCATCTGTTTCTCTACCTCCATCTGTTTCTCTACCTCCATCTGTTTCTCTACCTCCATCTGTTTCTCTACCTCCATCTGTTTCTCTACCTCCATCTGTTTCTCTGCCTCCATCTGTTTCTCCGTCTTCATCCATTTCTCTGCTTTCATCTGTTCATTACTTGCTCTGTAAGAGTCAACTGACTTGCTGGAGTCTGGGACAGCATTGCTTGTTGATACCAGTGGCAATATGCCATCTATCATCATCGACTGCTGACTTGGAGGCTGGCAAAGGAAATTTGAATTAGTACTGACTGACACAACCATGAAATACGTGTAGTTTGAAACTCCAAGGGAGAAAACCTTTAGGATTTGGTAGGACTTATATAACCCTAAAAATTTGCCCTTTCCCTTTCACTATTATATAGGGTGTAGAACTCTAGCAAAAGGCCTACCGAAGGAGGGAGGGGAATATTCCAGGAGGACCTGAGCAAGTCCTGCTTCTTTCTCTGCACCTCCTGATACTCTGTCTTCAGCTACGTATATACAACAAATACACACAGTGATCCTCTATAATAACGAGAAAAAAACCTCCACGACAAAAATCTTTTGCAAATCTCTCTCAAAAGGTTTTCAAGGAAAAAGTTTTGCGACTGCGGTTGGTTGACGAGTGTGGTGCACTTAAACCAACACAAAAAAACGACATTACACGATTGCATAAAACCTGCAAAATTTGCGAACATTTTTTGTCTTGGAAGTTTTGTTATATAGTGGCCCAACCATTGAAAACTTCTTCTGAGCAGCTCTGAGCTTCTTAGACCTGGCCTCCTCCAATCTCTTCTCCTCCTTACTCCTTTTGATGCTCACCTCCTCCAGCAACTGACTTCCTTGCAACAACTTCATTTGCTGTACAATTATCATCGATGCAATACTTTAGCACAGAATAAGGAACGAAAGCCAACAATCACAATTGTTCCCCTCCCATACAACACATGTAGAGTGATGCTCCTACGATTGTATTCTAGCATTATTGGATACGTATACCAGAATAAAGACACACATACGCATATGGGTCACAAGATTCTAGAAAGTTGAGGTCCGAAACACTAACCATGTTCTGCTCCTTTTCCGATAAGTCCTTCATCTTTGCAAAGAAGTTTGGCTTCGTCGCAGTCATTGGTGCTGAACCCTACGAACGGTGAACAAAACAGTCATGCTGTGAGGTATTACAAGGAACGGAAAGAGAGAGGTTGTGTCTTATCACTAACAGACTCTTTGCAAAACAGTACAAAACACACTGTGTGGTAAGCAACTATTACTCGTGTTTATCACTAACAGACTCTTCGGAAGGCGAGGTAAAGAGGTTCTGCTTCTCAACCAGGAGCTTCTGGTACTGATCTGTCAGCTGTAGAAGGAGAAGGTTCCATATGCAGGTCATCCTCTAGCACTAACATCTACAACTAGAACATCTACAACTAGAATTAGGCAGGTCATCTCTAGCACTAACATCTACAACTAGAACGAGAGTCGCACATTTTTGGCAAGCGAGCGCTAACAGTCACATTTTTCATGCACATTTAGAATCATTGCCGAGGCCTTTATGCCATTATACCTCAGTTCTCTCCAGAGTAAGTGCTCTCTGCTGGCGGGTCAGTTCCACCAGATGACTCTCAATCTCTTGCACAATCCGAGCCATGGCCTCTACCTGGCTCTGGGCCTCCATCAACTTCTCCTGCTATATACAGACAGACAGAGATAAGGAGAGATGAACCAAAACCACTAAAGCAAAGGTCTACGAACGCAAGCAGAAATGGAAAATTCCCTAGTTTCACAAACCCAAGTGTGTGCATAAGTTTCAGAGCTCAACGGGACGTGTGTTGTAATCTGTGAGTATACATAAATATGTATGGGCTCAATTCATAAAATGTTAATAGAAACGGAAATTGCTTCTTTTTTTTACAGGGCCCTACTGTTTTGTTCCATACTCAGCCCTTATGTAATGCAACATTCCCTTTAAGCATATATACTGATGAGGTTCAGCTATATATACCAGTTCTCTGTCCCTCTTGTCCAGAGTTGCAATGTCTGAGGCAAACTTGCGGTGAGGAGTCATTAGTGAAGGGTCTCCCTCTTGAGACGAGCTGTGCTGGGAGGAGCTCACCGACATGTTCTCTGTCTCTGACTCTCTCCCCACACCTCCCCCTCCCCCTCCCCCAACACCAGAACTGCCCTGTAGGCATGTATTAGGATCTATCATTTCACAAATGCAGGACCACCGAGAACACCTGCTACATAAAGCACTCATTACATCACGGTTTACTATTTATTATTTCTTCTAACCCTGATTTACACGCAGAACCAAATCACAACCCACACATTGCACAAACCAGAAGTTCTAACAACTACTTAGTCCGCTTTACGATAGCAAACAATAACTGACCATGGCTGGCTCCAGACTTGAAGGCTGGACAGAGGTACAGTGTTTTACACACTCTCTCTTGCTCGACTCACTCGTCTCCAACCTCAGCTTCTTCGCTCCCTCCCTGTCATCATGAGCAGACTTTCTTCGTTTCTTTCTCTGAGAACTACCACCTCCTCTCAATGGACTACCTGAAGAGAACCCGTCATTTTCCTCAAACTTTCTGTCTGTCAATCCAGCATCACTGGCGACGATTCTCTTCGACTTTAGAGAGTTGATGATTTACATCGAGTCTCGCGAAGAGCTTCTACTCTTTGCCCCTCTATCGGGTGTCTTATGACTGGTTGGTTCAGTAGCCCTATGGCTCACTGGTTCATCAGACTTATGGCTCGATGGTTCATTAGCCCCATGTATAGCTGGCTGGAGAGGTGTAATGTCCACTTGAGGCACAGTAGCAGTGTTTGCTGGGGCTCCACTGACTCCTTCCCCATCTACTGCTTTAGTTGACGAGCCTATTCTCAGAGTAGGGCAGTTAAGTTTCAGGCATTTTGGTGGGGTGAACAGAAGTGGTGGCTCTCTGCTTGTTTTGAACGTGGCACAAGCAACAGGGGGGTCTCTTTTGCGACTGTGTGGGCCTTCTGACACAGCAGTGGAGTGTGATTGTCTTTTCTCAGAAAAAAGTGGGCCTACTGGCAAAGAATCGGATCTGGTGGTTATTTCGAACGTATGTAATCTGATGGGTCTTTTCAAGTTTGGTCCTTTTGGGTAAGCTATCTGATGGTCTCTTTCAAAGAGAAGCGGGCCCTTGGAACCTGATGGTCTTTTTTCAGAGGTTAGTGGACCCTTTGGCAAACCATTGGAATCTGATGGTATCTTGTCAGAGGGAAGTGGACCTTTCGGTAAGGGACTAGAATCTAACAACCGCTTTCCAGTGGAAAGTGCGTTGTTTTGTAAGGCGTCGCATTGATGGTTCCAATATCATGTTCGGTGGTGCGATGCAGCACATGCTAACGGCTCATTTCGGGTCCTCGTTTCGTTTTTCCCCCTGTTTTGTTGGGGCTGGTTTCACAAGTTGGTGCTGAAGTAGAGGGCCCAGGTGGCGGCGGCTCTTCAAGACCTTCCTGGCGGAAGTGGCAGAGTATGAGTTTAGGTTTGCCAGCAGCTGGGTGTTGAGTTGTCAGAAGTGCCAGATTGTGGAATCTGGCCCAGATCCATCAGCCTCATCTTTGAGACTTCGAATCAATCTTCTCCTGGAGTTTTCAGGAACACATCCGACATCAGGGCAAAAACGTGTTCACCTCCACAGAGTCCAGAGAAGGCTCTGGGACTGGTTTAGTGTTGGAGTCACTGGCTCACACTTCACAGAAGCATGAGATGCGTTGGACTAGGAGGCAACCTCTGTTGAGTGAAGACGGTTTTGCACGTGTGTCTTTTCTGGGCCACTGATAACTGCAGGACCACTAGAGTCCTCAGCTGGGAGTGAGGAAACTGCGAGGCGCAGACTGTGCGGTCCTCTATATCCATCAGATGATATTCTGCTATAGGCAGGGTTCTCCCACTGCCTCAGCTGGAGCCGGTTGGGTTGTGCTTGCACCCCACACTTTGTTTGCTGTTTGCGACGAACCACCAGATTGGTTGGGGGTAGGTGCTGCATCACGTTGTGTCGATCTTGCTCGATACTATTGCAGAGCCATTAGTTGAGATACTTGAGCGTACTGCAGCGGCCATTACCTGCACCAGTTCTCTGAGAATTGGTACTGTAGAGCCATGTGAGAAGAAGAGTGATTCTATACCTGAAGGTGCTGATGGCAAGGCCGTTCTGGTTGCATGCCACCCCCACTTTCTTGCCCAGCTCTTCTGGTGCTCCGTCACATTTCGACACTCTGGTTCTCTGCCGACCCTCTATCTCCATCAGTCTCCAAATAGCAGGGATCCACCCTTTACCCGAATCGGAGGTAGTCTCATTACAAACCAGGCTTCTCTGATTTCAGCCCATGAGGCCTCCTTACATCATCCAACGCAGAACCAATTCCCGAGTGCAGCCTTGTGAGGGGAGGTATTTGTACGGTGAGAGATTTAGACATGGGTATTGCAAGCAAAAGGCCACTTTCGAATTGAGTGTCCTCACAGGTGGTTCACCCAGAAGATGATTTGATGACCTCCTCCGTAGGTTTGTGAGAGGTTTTTGAACGACCAGGAGGCGGAGAAAGAAGTTAATGGCCTACCCATCGGCTGTTTTTCCTTAACATGCGGAAACTTGAAAGACATTTCATTGTCACAAAACTTGAGACGGTTGTGGATGTTGGGGCAGGTTTGAAGATCTTGGGAAAAATGGGTGACCACTTGTAGACTCTGTGTGCAAGGCCCGCTTTTTGGCTCCATGGGTTGGTTCGGTAGAGGAAAGATTTCTGGGCTCACGAGGTGGTCACAGGCTGGAGGATGTGGAGTGAGGAAGTAGGCAGCGTTTTTGCAAAACCTGTCAAAGAAATCTCTTATATTTGACACAGGGTCGTTTAGAAACCAAATACACTAGGTCATATGGGCAATACCACTCGGTTTGGGAAAGTTAGATATTATGGATGTTGTTCGGTGACCGTGAGCTACAAGGCGCAGGCTGGGACACCTACATTGGCTCCCAAAAACCAGTGACCTTCCAGGAAGGAATAGCACGTGGGGGTCTTTGGCTTCTCAGGTGGAAAAACTTGGGGAAGGGTGCGATGAATGCCCTGCGGGCTGGCCCGAAAACGGAAGGGGGGGGGGGGGAGGGGGGGGGGGGAGGGGGGGGGGAGGGGGGGGGGGGGGGGGTGGGGGGGGGGGGATGGGGGGGGGCGGGGGGGGGGGGAGGGGGTGAGGAGGAGGAGGAGGAGGGGGGGGGACGGAGGAGAAGGGTAGGCCGAAGAGAGAGGGGAGGCGAAGGGGGAGAAGGGAGGGGGGGGGGGGGGATCGACATGAGGGGGGGAGGAGGAGGGGAGGAGACGGAGGAGGGAGGGGGAGGAGGAGGGAGGGAAGAGGGGGGGATGGGGAGAGAGGGGGGGGGGGGGTAGGGGAGGGGGAAGGGGGAAGGAGGGAGGGGGGGGGGGGCGAGGGGCGAGGTGGAGGGGGGGAGGGAGAGGGGGGGGGGGAGGCGGAGGGAGGGGAGACGAGGGGAGGGCGGGGAGGGGAGGGTGAGCGAAGAGGAAGGGGGTGAGGGAGAGTGGGGGGGGGGGTGGGAGGATGGAAAGGAGTGGGGGGACGAGGCGGGGGGCGGGGGGAGGGAAGGGGGGGGGTGGGGGGGGGGGTGGGGGGGGAGGGGGGATGGGGCGGGGGGGGGGGGGGGGGGGGGAGTGAGCGGGGGGGGGCGGGGGAGGGGGGGGGGGGGGGGTTCGCGGGGGGGGGGCGGGTGGGGGGGGGGGGGGGGCGGGGGGGGCAGGGGGGGAAGGGGGGGGGCGGGTGTGGGGAGGGAGGGGGGGCGGGGGGGGGTGGGTAGGGGGGGGGTGGGGGGGGGGGGGGGCGGGGGCGGGGGGAGGGGGGGGGGGGGCGGGGGGGGGGGAGGCGGGGAGGGGGGGGGGGGGGGAGGGGAAGGTGGGGGGGGGGTGGAAGGCGGGGGGAGGAGTGGGGGGGGGGTTGGGTTCCTGTGTGGTTTTTTCTTTTTTTTGTGTTATGTGATTTTTTTTTTCGTTTGTTTTTCTTCTTTTTTTTTTTTTTGTTTTTTTTTTTTTGTTTTTTTTTTTTTTCTTTTTTTTTTTTTTTTATTTGTTTTTTTTTTTTTTTCCTTTTTTTTTTTTTTGGTTATTTTTTTTTTTTTTTTTTTTTAATAAACACACCTTTATGCGTTGTTTTTTTTGTAGCTCCTTGTGGCTTTTTGCCCGTTAGACCTAGGCCACTGTTACTTGAGGCTAATTGAAGTCAGATTCTTGAGTGGGGCAAGGGGGCTTTTCTTATTTTTCCTCTTTTTTCGTCTTTTTGGCAAGCTTACCGACAG